AGATAAGTGTACAGGTTTTTATAGGCGCAGTCTAGAAACTTTCCGATCGCACCTCGTACGTGAATTAGATGTCGTGTGAAAACTGTGATTACAAGACAGAAGTTTTATAAATCTTTTGGAACTTGTGCACGCTCCCCCCAATACAGAAAAATATCCCTTCGAATCAACAGGGAATTCACTTTTTAATTATTTATATTAGCTAAAATGAAAATTCATTTGAAGTTGTTAGTTAGTTCAGGTTTTCGTTCTTGCCTTGCGCCGCTTCGTCAAAAAGCGCTCTGGAATAAAAAACGCCGTGACCCATCATTGTGCGCATCCGTAAATCATGAACGACGGACTGGGAAGTAAGCGTATAGCAACCGCACAGAACTATCATAGCATTACGGAGTCAAAAGAGAAAACCCTGGATAGATTCAGCGATAGTATCAGAAATAGGACATGACTGTCTCCTCTCAAATCCATAATATCCCATACCTAATCATTCAGAGAAAGCAATAAAGTTGTTAAATAGCCCAATAATCAAAAACTGGTCAAAATTCTTGTCCGAGATCTCCAGAACATGGAAGCTATTTCTATCCATCACACAATGTCATTTCTGGCTTGGTAGTACCAAACCAAAATAAGAACCTACACGGATATGAGGTTACTCTTGGTAAGAGTTCAGAATTTCATGGCTGTGAGTATGAAGAAAGGTGTCTTTGGGATTGTTGAGACTTGATGATGCAGGCAGGAAGAACTTCTGAAACGTCGGCACGCGCAGCAAACCAGTATCTACTTAGTCTTCTTGTGTGGTCACAATTCGTATAATTTTGTTTTGATGAGTGTTTTCCTATGGACTCTTTCCTTATTCAAGACATACAGATAATTGTCTAAAAAATGGATTTATTTTATCAGTTTCTCTTATTCCACAATGAAGACCTAATAGGTAATCAGTAACGTGTCCTATTTTAAAATGCGAATTTCTTGATTTGGATGTTTGAGCATTACAGCTATCTGAAACTAATTTCCGGAAACAAGACATCGCCAGCCAAAGGTATAGAATAAACGAAGTCAAAGATATATATTAAAAGCACAAGCCAACACTTAGGGCTCAAATATCCTTTCTGCTATTCTGGGGTATAACGCTTCAGCCTTGAAGATGGAAGCAGCAACTTACTCCGAACCGTTAGTACCTACAACTACGCTCAAAATTTCTTCACTGCATCCAGAAGTGTCTAAAGCAGACCCTAAATTATTGATACGGTTAAATCCAATGCATGGAATCATATATTGTTTCAATATTTCAGTAATCTTCTTTCACTTATGCCCTGAACTCAGACGTATCCTTCCTTCAGATTTGTAAATAAAATTGAATTTTTCACTTGCAGAATATATATTATCTGTCCCTCCGATTTTATCCTTCCTTGTGAAATTTAAGAGTAACTTCAGGCGCTCCTGTTAACGTGATTTCCTAGTAGCAGTCAATGTAGTCGTGCAGTTTACTGACAAACGTAACGTTGCCTATGCACAGCATATATGCAACTGAAACACTTGAATGAAACTACTGAAACATTTCTCGGTCTTCCCCTGATTTAAAACGTTAAGTTCAGTGAACTGCTGAAGTCCGCTCATGGGAATTTCAATTCGGATGCTAGATTAAAATACTTAACTGAACGGTCTGCAGCCAATTTTCCTAAAGTTGTAAAGGCAAATGCAGGTCTTGTATCTGACCTTCCCTCGTCTACCAAAACACAGTAAATACTTTGACAAGAGTAAAATGAAATAGCTCATCGCCATGACGATAGAGGCAGCATGGACCACTGAAACATTGGAATAAAGTCTACCAGACTACACGGTGCTACAATCCAAAAGACAGACATCTTCGTACCGCTGTGAAAACCTAAAAGCCTATTTGGCACGTAACAAGCTCCTATTAACTCCCTTGTGAAGTGAATAGTGAGTTCCACATTTATTTAAAGCAACTGTGAAACCCAGGCTTCTAGGACAAATATCACATGCCTTAAAGAAAGAAACGATGCAACAGACTTTCATAAGCATCTGCAGTGAAATGTGTTCACTAGTTGATCAGCTCTTATCTGCTGTCCGGCTTGGGTGACCCTACCATGAGCTGAAGCTCCGGCCGGCAAAGCCCTAAGGTTCATTTGAGCCCGCAAGCCTCACCCGGCAAAAATTATTTGCTTTCGACAAAGTGGTGATGCCTACGGGATGTTGGACAGCCCTATTTCTCTGCATTTCATTCGCATCGTGCAACTGGAGCTCAACAATGGAACGAGTAAACAACTCATCGGAAGCGACAATGCATTGTTGCTTCGGTTGAGTTGTTTACTCGTTGCTATTGTTACTCTGTTTATTGTCAGCTTTCAAGCGGTTATAAGGTTAGACACAAGATTGGTACTGATTTTTGAAATTTTAACTTTGAATATCGTTTATAAAATCAGGCTACACTCGACGGAAACTGTAGGATGTAAGGTAACGCTGGTGTGTAACTTCTTCAAACGCCAATATCTCGAGACCTATGTAAGATAGAGAATATAAACCTACATGTAAATTAAAGAGTAACTAAAGGGCTTTTTCTATGATGTTTACTTTATTCTATAATGCATATTTTACACATTGTTAAAATAATTACCCAAAACATGTAATAACTATACCCTCGTTCCTTAACTTCAACCGCTTGCCACGTCTAAAGCGTAAAAGTTAGATCTGGCATATTACGAGTGATATACGTAAATAACCTACCTGACCGCCCGGACCGCGCGAATGGACTGGGGTGCAATACAGGTTTGCCACGAAAGCAAACTCCCGGGGAATCCCGTTGTAAATGACGAGGAGGCAATCTACAAGTGAGTCAAGGAGCTGACCAGCGCCATCCTCGAGGCCAGGGTTCGGTGACCTATCGTCTCAACGAGTGGAGGAACGAACAGTTGAGTGACACCCTGGAATCGTTGTGGAAAATGACAAAGCGGGTGATGCGAATACCTACTCCGTCGCCCCCCTTGCTAGTGCTGGGAGGACTGGCTGTCTCAGACTCCGAGAAGGCGGAAGCCCTGACCGACAACCTTGAGGTCCAGTTTCAGCCGGTGGACGACCTGTCGGACCTGACTGTTATTGACACGGTTGACGAGGCGATGCGAGCAAACGAGTATGCCCCTGCAAGCGAACCGAAATTAACCAGTCCCTTGGATGTCCTTCAGACCATCAAGGGACTCAAGGTATACCGAACAGAGTCCTCAGACATCTTCGACGACGCGCGATAACCTTTGTCACGAAAGTGTTCAACGCGGTCCTCCGCAGGCAGCACTTCTCCTCGGCATGAAAACATGATCGTTTGGTGTCCATACTGAGACCCGGGAGAGACCCAACGCTACCTTCTTCCTACAGACCTATCAGTCTCCTTGACACGGTCGGCAAGCTACACGAGGTGAACGAACGCGGGCCTCTGCGCGACGAGCAGTTTCGGTTCCTACCCAGACATAGCACGACGCTGCAGCTGGCTCGCCTCGTTGGAAAGGTCAACAGGAACTTTGACGAGAGGCGGCTAACCGGCGCGGTTTTCCTGGACGTGGCCAAAGCCTTCGACACGGTCTAGGTCGAAGGGCACCTCTACAAGCTAACTGTCCTCAACATCCCGTCTTATCTGGTGAAAACCATCTCATCCTACCTTTCTTGCCGGACATTCCAAACGTCCTTCTAGTCGGCCATATCCACAAGTCGTGCCATGTGGGCCGGAGTTTTTCAGGGCGGACTCGTGTCCCCAGTGATCTTCAGTCTGTATGTCAACGAAAAGCCAACACCGTCCCACCATGTCGAGTTAGCGTAGTACGCGGATCGCGCGGCCCTCGTAGTAACATCCCTTAGTCAAACGCTTCTCCTTAGGCATCTAGAGACTTACCTCGGTAGACTGGAGCTCTGGCTCAGAGCCTGGAGGATTGCTATCAACGTCTCGAAGAGCACCGCGATTCTCTTCATTAAGACGAAGAGACGCATCGAAATGCCCAGAGCAGTGCAGTTTCTCGGACAGCCGATACAATGGGTCAAAACGGCGCGGTACATAGAGGTCACCCTTGACACCGGGCTTACCTGGTCGGCGCACGTCAACCAGATGGGAAAGTAGGCGGCGCAACGATTGTGTGTGTTAGGCCCGCTCCTTAATGGGAGAAATGGTTTATCCATCACGAACGGTGTGCTTCTCTATAAGCAGCTCATACCTCATAAGATGGATTACGCATGCCTGATCTGGAGGTCAGCTGCCAGCAGCCATGTCAGGAAGCTGCAAGTGTTGCAATCCAAGTGTCTTCGCATTACTACTAACGCGAATTGGTACGTTAGTAACAGGCAAAGTCACGAGGAATTGAGGATCCCTCTCTTTGCCGACCACATCAGAGCACTGACTGAGAGATTTGACTCAAAGTTAGCTGGTGTGGGGAACCCCTTAGTCCGGCAACTCAGGCGGCACTTGTTCCGAACGAGGGCTGACAGAGGTCACCCGAGGGCAACCGAGGTGGACTGATGTTCAGAAGGCCAGCCGAGGCTGTCCCCAAAATACGGCCAAGTCGGCACAACGAGTAGTCTGACTCCTCGGCTACACTGACTGAGGGTTTCCGTGCTTTTCCTCAGTTGGCTACCTCCAATCACGGAGGCCCTCAGACGAAGCGACCCCACCGTCTCAGGGCCCAAACCCCAGAGAAACAACCAACCAAAATCCTTTGAGAAAGGACATGTTGCCCGACGGGATAACCTCTCATCAGCAGCAACAGACCCCAGTTTGAATAGTTGAGCCTCCCACCACAACAAAATCCCCGTTAGCGTAAACAAAACTCCCGTTTTAGTTTTAAGGCTCTGTTTACCATTTCCATCAATGCGTTTCTTACGCAGGAATGGTGTTACCTAGCAAGGGACAATGTCTCAAAGCGCTTGCGCAAGACACCGCCCTTAGTTAGCTTTTTGGCTGGTTGTAGCTGGGCTTACATTCGTATGTAGAGCTACAGAGATTAGGACAGGACAGGAACCGGTGGAGAGCTGCTGCCAACCAACTGCAAGGTTGACAACCTAAATAGTAACCAATTCCGGATGGTAAGTCACAAATCCCCATAGCGACTAAGTTGATTAAGCAATGTCTTAATCAAACTTATCTCAATTGTAAAGCGGGTATAAAGGAAATATTTAGAATAAAGCCATTATATAAACTTCCTTTCCGTATAGACGAATTTACGTCTAATTCTCCGGAACCGTGGTTCCACTATCACTTTTTATTTGGGAATGCAGTCTGTTGCTACGAAACTTCGTAACAATATTTTGTTCATTGACTCCGCGTCTCTACACCCTATTTTGAAAAACCTGCATCCATTCCACACGTTCTCTATTCAATATCCATTTCAATATTATTCTCCCATCTGTGTCTAACTTATCCAAGTGGACTCTTCCCTTCAGACCTTTTACTGAAGCTTTCTGTAGATTACTTATCATCTGAATAAGCACGATACATGTTCTAACGATCTGATTTTAACTCATTTGATCTCCCTAATTATATTCGGTGTCGAGAGAAAATTAGAAACTTCCGTTTCTTGTAATTGGATTTCTAATTGTCCAGCTTTATTCACTTTTTCTATTATGTTCGTTATCCTCTCTTGTATTCGTCATTAAATTTTCTGGTGACGTTCTTCGCTTACCTGTTCAGGATAATGCGAACTTAAAATAATATTGTGTTTATGAAATGAATTTAATGCTTTAAGGTGGGCGTAAGAGTCAAGTAAATCAGCGCAATGACCAGACACAAAATTTGTCGTTGATTAATCCTCTTGCATCTATTCTTTCCCCACAGATTTAGTCCGATTCTGAGGATAAAGACGGACACACTTCTATGTATGCGATCTTCACTGTCATAAGAGACGGACTCTTATTTTAGATGTATGAATTTCATCAATAATGAAAACCTTAAACGTTTGTACACCTCTTCCAATATTGTCAAGGTGATTAAGTCAAGGAAAATGTGGTGGACTGGGCATGTGGCTCGCATGGATTAGGCAAGAGGTGTTAATCCGGGTATTGGTCAGGAAATCTAATGGAAAGAGTCCGCTGGGGAGACCTAGACGTAGATGAGAGGATAAAGTAAAGCGGCATCTATGGCAGATATTATTTGAAAGCGACTGGAATTGCTGGCCCCGAACAGAGACGGAGGAGGGTTTTTGTTAATTCGGCGTTGAACCATCTGTTACCCTAAGCCATCTAGTTATTTAGTTAGTTAGGTAAATTACGAAATCTATTTATGGGTTAATGTAGCAATTGGTGGACTGACTCTATAAGACCAATAAATTATAGATTGTTCTTCTTATTTTCTGTTTTCAACTTATAAGTACATGACAGAGCAGGCATTTCCAAAACGGTATAGCAGCGCATCCAGAAAGTAGAAAATAAAAAATATATTTCCTTTGAAGACATGATTCTGTGTAACTTCTTCTTGCTCAGAAATATAGGCGCAGGATTGTCCAAAAACGTATATAGTGAAACCTAGAAGGGTCATTTTTGAGACGGAGAGAAATAAAAACGATGAATACGGGAAGACGATACTTGCGGGAAAGCATTAACAATTAAAATAGTGCATTTTTCACTTTTTCATATTCAAATCAATACACACAAAACCTGTTTCAAAGTTACTTATTTTTTCCAAAATAGTTTTTAATGGATGACTTTACATTAGGAGAAACAGATCCTTTTCCATATTCACAGAGCTTTCCTCATCACCTTCATAAATATTGTGTTCATAAAAGAACGAATTCTTTTTTACACGAATGCGGCTTGTGCGTCGTCAAACTCTCGCCCATTATGGGCTCTCATTCGTCTTCTCCTTTCTCACTGCTTCCGCTCGTTTCGAGATCGACTCACAACGCATTAATAGTGTCGACCCCGCATGAGGCAAGCTCGCTGCGCGTCATTCGATATTGACCTATCTGTAGATTAATCATTTTAAATTCTAAAATCATTGCGTTAATTTCGTGATCAGTGCGGGAAAATTGTGGGCCAGAACTATGATTTTTGAGATGCTGCAATGAAACGCGAGGAACTCTAGAAGCGAGGAAATGTAACATTATTTTATATTTGACTTATCAGGGACCGAACAAACCAGAATATGCATCCGGGGAAACGATAGTTCAGGGAAAGATGGATAGAGGCTTCACTGTGTATATTTTACATCAGCTTCTTTCGAAATGTTGTTATAAATATTGTTGTCATCCGAGCGACACAAATCAGAGTTGGCAATACTGGTGAGAGAGGAAAAATATTTGCCAGTTTTTCTGATTAGAATTAATCTCTGATTGATTGCAAAATGAAATTATTATGACACATAATTGAGAGTAACATTTTTCTTTTGTAAATATTTCACAGTTCATGCAGAAAACACTTTCAGCTGGAGATAGAGCCCCATCTTCGAAACGTCGTTTTACGCTTTATATTTTATTTACTAGACGATGGTTAACATCGAAGAAAATTTTTATTCAAATGACTTTCAGCTGGTTTCGATCTAGAAGAATGATAGTTTTTAATTAAAGAGTAACCATTAAACAAAGAAACGTCTCCGAAATATCAAATATAGACTCTGAGAACAACAATAAAAACAATAATAATAATCCGTAGACCCATTTGATGACGATTTGCTTGCATATTAATTATATAGAAACTGAGGATGGAAGTAAAATTCCTAGGTTTACCACACTATTGTCAGTTCTCATTTATATTTTATTGCCTTGTCCTCCACTTCTTCAGCTCTCAAGCGAAAGTCAAAAAGAAAAGTATATGAAAGTCTAAGATTTTCTAAATTATAAACATTTCTTCCTAACTACGGAAAAAATCCATATGTTATTACTCTGATACAATATCAGTCGATTAAAAATCTAGTGCAAAATTCGTCAAAATAATATTGAAATTTGCATCCTTTTCTCTCAAGAAAACACACCATATTACCTATTTTGATGATATTTGGGGAAATCTTTGCCCTTGATTTTTAGAACCGAATAAAGCCCATAAATGGACTCTGAAAACGACATGCAGAGTTATAAATAGGTGGTATGTATAGTTCTGCCTACAACTACCCTATGAAAGGAACACATTTTAGATAAATAAATCATTGTTTATTCTGAGAACCAAAATAAGGAAACAAGAATGTAAGAAAAAAATTAAAAAACGTACTCTATATTACTGAACGCTTAAAAGAATTTACACATACTTACCGCTGAGCCACAGTCTGATTTTGGTCCGAGGCACACGGGTGCCAAGTCAGTGTTTATGCGTAGGATCGAGCAGTGATCGCGAGTCAGTTCAACCAGTGAAGCCAACCTAGCAATCAAAGCAATCGGGTAGAAGGAGCTTCAGGACGGTTTCTCTCTATTATGAACAAGCTCCTACAATCGATACTGAGAACTTCATCATGACGGCAGCCAAGTGCTCTCCAACCTCGTATTTGGTTCGTAGTCAATAAAGCTAGCACGAGAGAACGTCTTGCGTAACAGACCTGGCTTCTATTCTTTGATGACCCGTTCTTGAGATCTGCTACAGTTTGTAAGGGGATGTTTCAATGTAAGGATGTGCAGTAATCACTCTCCACATTGTTTCCAGTCCTGACTTTTCCTCCAACGGGATATTGTAAAAAAGTTAAACTTTCGCCTTATCTGTACTTAGGTCAATTTCTGAATTTAATACTCATTTTTAACGAGGAGTTAACATGAAAGCAACATTTTATGTATGCTCTACAATCAACATAGCCATGCTTGTATAGCAAGGAATGCTAATTTCATATTCCCCAAGAAGGATTTTCTGCATATTCCTAGATAACATCGTAAATCACATGTACTGGCTGCTGAATTTCTAATTATTAAAAATGAGTGTTCTATTTTATAAACAATTTACATAATTATTTTCATGGAACAGAATTCTTCTTGAAAAGCTAACAGCTTCGTAGTCGCTCAGCTAGTAAAGATATTTCCCGCCCTATATGAAACCAGGCAACTTATTAACGTCAATTTCTTGTCTCTCGGTTACTAAATAAAGTTCCTACCTTTCTTGTGATCTGAATGTTCATTACCGTGTTTAGAAGAGCCAGCATCTGGACTCTGTCCTGAGCCAGATGAATCCAATCCAGTACACATTCGTATATCCTATTTCTTAGCTACATTTTAATACTAACCTCCCTTCTACAGTCCTTTCTCTCATACACCTTCAAAATCTATTCCGTAGCATCTAAAATAAAAATATGGTCGAATTAGAACAACCTCGGTCTCTCTGTAATTTTCCCACTTTATGGACTTGGTGCAAATAAAAAAGTGACAGTGGAACCACGGTTCCGGAGAATCTGACGTAAATACGTCTATACGGAAAGGAAGTTTATATATTAGCTTTATTCTAAATATTCCTTTTATACATGCTTTAAAATTGAGTAGATAATTTGATTAAGACATTGATTATTTAACCTGAATTAGTTACGCTTAAGATGGGTCTGTGGTAGCTGAAATATGTTATAAAAATTTGTGCACTTTAGAGTATCAACATTTCGTGCAAACACCATATCTATACAAGATTTTGATCTAGTAGTACTACATTGAGGATTTGACATCAACATTAAGCCAAACGTTTCCTCCATAAATGTGACAAAACTTTGATTTTCCTCCTTCTTTAAAACAATGTTAAAATCTCCTGTCAATATTATCGGCACTGTATTAGGATTTTCTGTGTCTCAAATGACTCAAAATAAGTCTCTTACAATCATCAATAGGTGTACGGTTACAAATATACAGGGTTACAATTAAAACTTTTTCACCATTGACCATACACTCTGGAGTTCATTATTTAATACTTCTATTTTTTACGTTTTCTGTACTGTCTCATATATTCTGCGTTATGGAGTCTTTTAGATTCAATGTCATCCATCTTGTACATAGTATGACGCAACAAATTAACGCAATAATAGATTTCTTACTAATTCTTATATAAGATAAGTACCTGTGATATTCTAAAACATTTTTACCAGCACAAAATTATCTAGTCTACGATGCACTTCTTGTACAAGCGAATCAGAGCTCAACTCTTTCCGCAATATCGAAAGCAGATTGATGACGGCAGTAATGTAACACAACAATGCAGAGTAAACAGATGACGTTTCCTAGGTAACAAATTGTTGTTACACTTTTTGTGGAATGACACTGACCCTTCCATATAGACGAATTTACGTCAAAACAGAATCTAATCCGAAACCTGTAACGCCTAACAGAGAATTGTGATTACAACTACAGATTCGTTTAAAGAATTATTAAATGGCTTTATAAACTGGTTAGGGGTAATTGCATCATTTCCGATTATTAATACTAGGAACTGATGGACAAAGTTACACTAGTCCAGTCCTCATGTTACAAAAGATGGAAGCCTATTCCAAAAGGCGCAAGCAAGATATAAAACATGTTTGTTATCATGTGAATTTAAGCCCCTGGAGGG